CTCAGCCACCCCCTCCACCAGGCTCCCAGGAGTGGGTCCTTACTTGGCCTGGGTGGCAACACTCAGCCCTGCTCCCTTCACTATCCCCTTGGGATGCCATAGGAGGGTTTTGAGACCTAAGCAGACATGTAAATCATATAAATATGCAAAAACTGAATTTTCTCATCTGGTTCCTCACAGATGCTTGAGGGTGAAATTGAATCCTGGGCTGCATGTTTGTTCTGGAAATAACATGTGTGGGGTTGTTTGCCAGAATAAATTAGTCTTTGTCCTGATGCTGTGCCTATAGTGATGGCCAGACACCCATGGGGGTGGGGGAGCTGCCCAGGCAGCAGGGCCTGCCCCACCGCCCTGAGGAGGCCATCTGCAAGTGGGGAAACTGGGGACAGAGCAAGAAGTCAGCCACTGGACAGGGGAGCTCAGAGCTGGCCCACTGTACCCCCCACCTCCTTTCCAACAACCTCCCTATCCTGTTTTCTCTCTCACCTCCTACTTCGGCCCAGAAAAAGGTATTGAGCCTCACCATGACCATGGCTGGGCTCTAATTCAAATCCCACCTATTTACTGTGTACCTTGGGCTGGTTGCTTAACCTCTCTGAGTGAGTCTCACTCTCCTGCTCTATACACTAGGGAATTGTTCATTATGACTTTGAGAAATCCCCATAGATTGTGTCAGGCCCTTGGCTAAAACTCAACAAATGGCAGAAATCGTGTGCAGATTGTGACTTCTTGGGGCCAAATGTCACCGCTCTCACTCTCCAGCTGAGAGACCAAGGGTAGAGAGAATAGGAAGAGTTGGCCAGTACCTGACTGGAGCTGGCCTCTCTCTGTGCCTCTCTTGCCCCAGCTGCTCTGGAATTGGGAGGCGGAAACAGAGAGGCTTCTGGACACTTTCACCTGGGACCCACCATTAGCGATGTCACCTGTGTTTCCTGGGAGCCCTTAAGGGCAGGCACTGTGCCTTCTTTGTCCTTGCCCCTGGTGCCCACATGGGGTTTTGTGACTGAGTAAGCACTAAGCCACAAGTCCAGAGACCTGGGTTCATTCCACCTTTACCCTGAGCTGGCAGTGTGGCTTGGGTGCTCCTGGGCCTCCTTGGGCCCTGGGTTTCCTATCAGTGTGGTGGAGAACTGGCCATCTGCACGGCTCCCACTGTCTGGGTCCTCCAGCTCTTGCCGAGGCTGTTTAAAAATAGCTGCATCTTCCTGCCTGTCACTCTCCCTATCAGCTGTCACCCCTAGCTCCGCATCCCCACCCCTGAGCCCCTCGCCCTCGCTAATTTCTGCTTCCACTCTTTCTCAGCCTTGAACTGAGCCCTCATGAAATACCTAGTCTGCCATGAGTATGTGGTCCCACCCACCCCCATTTTTCTTTTCTTTTTTTTATAGCAAAGGTGGTGATTTATTGAAGAACAAATAGTCCCCCACGTGGGGAGAGGGAAAGAGTTCCACAGAATGTACTCCCAAGTAGGGAGGGGGAAAGGGTTCCCTGATGCAATTTTACTTCTGGTTGGGAAAGGGTCTCTGCTAGGTGCTGCCTGGGCTTTGAGACTTGCTTGACCCTATTTTCCATGGGAGGGTTTGGGCAGGAACTGGAAGCTGGAAATAGGTTATCGGAGCAGACAGCTGTTGAGCATCACTAGGGTCACCATGAACAGCTGCACAGGTTGTACGCTTCACAAGGGTCCTGGGTAAGCTGGGGCTTAAATCCTCACCATGCGGGCACCTGCCATGGCCCTGCATCCTCCCACAATGGCTTCCCTGGGGTTGGAGCCCCAGGAGGAGCTAATACCTTCCATTTGGGGCTGGTGCCCACCTTCCCTGGAGGTGGGTTGTCATATGATCATTGCCAATTCCCAGCCCAAGTCTCTCAGTTCCCCGGCCTCCCCTCCTTACCCAGGCCTTGACCAGCCCCCAGCAAACCCTGGCCTGCAGAACGGCCGCCTTTATCAGGAGCCAGCCCTCTCTGGCAGTGCATGATACCCAGGAGATGGAGCCGCTGCCGTGGGGAGCGCTGTTATCTGGGAGGCTCGGCCGGCAAGCCGTGGGGCTCCGATTAGGGAGCATGGCCGTTTGCCTGTGGGTGCCTGTGTGGGCAGGTGGGGGGCAAGCCAGAGCCAAAGTTCCGGAAAGGGACCATGGATCTCCACAGGTATGCCAAGCAGAGGCAGACTGGGAAGTCTGGGGCTGCCCCACTCTTTCTGATGCTCAGGGAGTGACCAGAGCCAGCTGGTTTCCTCCCGCTTCATGTCTCCAAGTCTTGGCCCACACATGGGAAGACTGAGTTGAATTTTGATTCCTCCTCCCACGGGAAGGTGGGCACCAGCCCCAGATGGAAGGTATTATCTCCTCCTGGGGCTCCAACAAGGCCAGGAACGACTCCTACCAACCTTCTGCACACAGAAAAGAAAATATGTGAAAACAGGAAGTCATGGCCACTGTGCTCCTCTGTCTGTGGCCCCAGCAGGGAAACTAGCGTCCAGAGGAACAAGAGGCCCAAGTGCCGGCCAACCCCTATGTGGCTCAGTACATATCTGGTTGTCAGGCTAGGGGTAAGCCATTGCGTCAGGATTCTGGATGCTTCCCCCTGGATCCCACTGCCCTGTGTAGGCAGTGCACAGACTCAGCCCATGGCTGGCTCCCAGCCAGCCTCAGAAGCAGCACGTGGATCTGGCTGGACAAACGCATGGATGGACAAATGAGTGCCCCGTGAGCTCAGCTCTAGACCGCCTCTTCCTTCCTCCATCTCTCCCTCACACACCCACCCACCCACGCATCCTAGGTGGGTTGCAGAAGACTCAGACCCTTGTGGGCAGGCCACAAAGTGACAGAGCCACCCACTGCCCCCCCTCGTTGCGGGGCAGATAAAGGGGCGCCGGTCTCCTCGGCCTCGCCCTGGTCTCCTGCCATCTTATCTGCCCTGGGGAAGACAAGGACCCAGTTGGAACGTTTTAGCCAGGCCTCCTGGCATATTTACACGTTATCTCTGCCATTAGGCCGGCAGTTATCTGATAATCGGGCCCATTAAGGCCACAGCCTGCCCAATCGGGGCTCCAGGAAGTGGGGCCGCCACAGCAGCGCTCGCTCAGAGACCAGGCCAGGCCACGTGAGGCCTCCGTGGGCGCAGGCAGCCTGTATGGCACCTGAGGCATAAGGTGGCCTGGCCTTCTGAGCAGAGGATCTGCAGCTGAGGGAGGCTGGGCACAGCCATCTGAGGGCATGGCCACCACCAGCCCCTTGTCCAGTGAGGACACTGAGGCGGGGAGGGGGGTAACATGCAGGTGTGATTCTCCCAGGGCACCCTGACAAATTTGTGCAGGCTTGGTGGCTTAACACATCAGAAATGTATTCTCTCACAGCTCTGGAGCCAGAAGTCCCAAATCCAGGTGTTAGCAGGGCCTCCCTCCATCTAGAGGCTCCAGGGGAGGGTCCTTCCTGCTTCTCCCAGCTCCTGGGACCCAGGTGCAGTTTCCTCCTGGCTACATCTCCATCTCTGCCTGTCTTCACTCCGTCTTTTTCCTCGAGTCTCTCTTCTATGTCTTTTTCCTGTGTCTCTTATAAGAACACTAGAGGCCCGATGTATGAAATTCATGCAAGAGTAAAAACCTTCCTTCCCCTAGCTGCCGACACCGACTTCCCTCACAGCCCCTGCTTCGTCCGGAAGGATGTCCGGTCTAAATAGCATATTATGCTTTGATTATTATAGATTCTTCATTGATTTAGGGCCCACTGGATGATCGATGATGGTCTCATCTTGAGATCCTAACTTGAATATATCTACAAAGGGCACAATGTAGATATGAAGGGCACAATCACAGGTTCTGGTGGAAATGTCTCTTGGGGCCACCATTCGTTCTATTATACAGGTCATATGGATCATGTGACAAGCCTGGGCTGAACCTGGGAGCCTGATGTAGACCCTGTACAAACCCAAATTGCCACCCCATGGGGATGACCATTGTAGGGCCTCGCAGCTGAGGTCCATCTGTCCGTGTAAACGTAACAGAATCCTAGCTCTACAGTGGATGCCACTCTTCCTGCTATGCTATGGAGTCATGGCCAACGCCACACAAGCTGGCAGAGCCCGGAAGAGTGTGGCCCTTCTCATGGCACAGGGAACCTTAGGCCCCTGGAGCCTTACAGCCTAGGCTAGGAGAGAGGCCATAGTTAGCCAAGGACCCCGGCAAGAGTCAGGGTCCAGATTTTCCAGAGAATACGCAGAGGTCCTGAGGATGGTGTGGGAGCCGCACATTCTGGGGTCACCTCTCATCTTCAGGGAGTAAATGGAACTGATCTCAGCACCACCCAGGCACAGATTCTGGCTTTGCTGAGACCTTGGCTCTGGGCCTCAGGTGCCCCACCAAGCACTGTGCTAAGCATGCTAGGTGGATTAACTCATCCGATCCTCATACCACCCAAGGAGGTAGGAAGTATTGGGGATCCCATCTTATCGATGAGGAAACCAAGACTCAGCATATCTACAGCCGCCCTCACAAGCCAGCTGTGCAGATTTAGGGATTCTGCAATGGGATGGGGGTGGGTCTCAACATCATCATCCTCTGCTCTGTGCCCATCCATGGATGCATCCTGGGTACAAGCAGCTTCGCCAATGCCACCCTGGGCTGCATGAGGGTCACAGATGTCCCTGACATGGCCATGTGTGTTCCTGATAACAGTGGCTTTGGTTCTGAGGCCACACATGTCCCTGACATGAGCAGCCATACACCCCAAGCAAAGCACCTGCCTGCTCAAATCCAGCTGAAGGCACCCCTCATTATCCTCTCTGCAACCCATTGTCTCCAGAAAAGGTCTTGCCCCATGGGCTGGCCCAGCCCCTGAAGCAGGCACCAGCCAAAATCTCTGTAACTCAGGCCTAGCCCACAGAGCAGTATTCCCTGTGGAGGGCTGAGGCCACAGAGGCAGGCTGGACATGGGCAGGCAGCAGGGCTGGGCGGTCACTGTGGCTGACGCTCCTCACACCTCTGATGTCTCTCCCTACAGACGAGCTGGAGCAGGTCCTGCAAGATGGGCAGAGGTGTGTGCGGGCTCGACGCAGCCTTGCTGAGGGCCTGTCCTGGGGCCCATTCCATGGAAGCGTCCAGAGCAGAGCCTCATCCCCCGGGCAGACAGAACCGGTAAGGAGCCCCAACCATGGCTAGCCCACCCTCTGGCCACAGGGCAGCAGCCAAGGAAGCATCCCACCCAGAGCACAGGCCCCTCAGACCTCCGGAGCCAGTCTGAGAGCTCCCACCACTTCATGTGAAATACATCAGAAGATGTGGGTGTTGGACCAGGATGGCTTCCTGGAGAGTTCAGAGACCAAGGCCACTAAGGGACTTTGGGTGAACCCTGAAGGAAGGGTTTTTAAGGGGTCCTTAATGGAGGAGTAGAAGGTGGTGTGGCAGAGAAGGAGAAGGGCTTTCAAGAGGAAGAAGCAACAAGGAGCCCAGTGGTAGGGCTGGACCCTGTGTGTGGCCATGTGGCTGGGAGGAAGTCAGGGGATCACTCCCCTCCCCCAGGCCTTTATGGGGAGGGGCCCTCCTGATGGTAAACCAAGTGGCATTCTGGGCACTTGGGGATAACTTCAGCAGAAAGCTAGAGATTCATTCTGGTTTTGTCCCTGTGGGTCTTCTGAGGACAGGGAGAGGGCACCTGTGGTGCCTGAGTGTCACAGCACCTCATCAGCATTGCTCATCTCCCTCTTTAACTTAGAATCCCCGCCTGGGCAGCACCCTCCCCCTGGATGAGAAAAGCACTGGGGTCGCTGGGCAGGCAAAGAAGTGACTCACAAGGGCCTACCACAGGGCTGGGCTCAGTGGGCACAGAGCCAGCAGCCCTGCAGCAGGGATGGTCCCCTTGTCCTCTGGCCCCAACCAAGGAGGAAACAGCGGAAACCCCAGGATGGATTCGGCTCTGCGGAGGGAGCCTGACGGGCTCCACAGTGGGATGGAGGCTGTGGTGTTTAGTGCAGCCTCTGGAGGCAATGAGCTTCCTGTCACTGGAGGCATCCAAGCAGCAGTTGACTCTTCAGAGGTTAGGCTGCTGTGAGGCAGTTAGTAGTTGGAAGGAGGAGGGGGTGGGCTGGGAGCTCTGTGGCTCTGGTCTCTGAACTCTCAACGTGTAAAGAAAATCTATGAGCAGTGACAGGACAAAGGCAGGCTGGCTGAGGGCTTGGGGTCTCAGCATGTTCTGAGTGGAGTTTGCACCTCTCTTCGTGTTCCCTTCTGGGGACAATCAGCCCCTTCCAAGGTGGACAGGTATGTGTTCCAAACTCTTCCCCACACGGTGCTGTGTGCCTATGCTTACACACAACACCTCGTTTCCTCCCTCTCCCGCCCTGTGAGGCAGGATTGCTGCCCCTGTGACAGTTGAGGAAACGGGTTAAGTGGCTTTCCAAAGCCATCCAGATCAAATAGCAGAGGGAGAACTGGAGCCAATGTCTGCCCAACCCCAGAGACCCCGGCAGGCTCCATAAGGACAGGGCTGAGTCCGGAGACGCAGCTGTCCCCTCCCACCTGCAGCTCCTCTCTGGAAGTTTTGTCCTCCTGGGGCCTAGGGCACAGGTCAGTCTGGGGAGACTTGGCACGAGGCTGGAAACGCTGTCCAGGCAGAGATAATGTCCGAGGGGAGTGAGGGAGCGAGCACCAGAGAAGCCGGCAACCTTTGAGGCTCTTGCGGAGGAGCCCAGGGAGGAAGGAGCCTCGCCTGCTCTTCCCTGCAGCTTTATCTTCCGCAGAATTAAATCCTTGATTAACCCTTATCTCCCCAGCAGGCACTATCTCTGCCTTGGCGCCGAGTGTCCAGACGCAACGTACAAGATGATTGATTTCTTAAAGATACGCGAGCCTTTCTGATACTTCATTTATTGTCTAAATATTTTTGCTAACGTTTCAGCAGGCCCCTTATCGAGCTCAGCTGATGGGTCCCAGTTCTCTCCCCCAAGCACCTCCTGCCCCAGATCATCCTATCAGCCACCAGGCGCTATTCACTCTTTCAAAAGGGGAGAGGGGGAGGGGCGCCGAAGGGGTGTGTATTGGCCCTTTCCTGCTGGGAGTTAGGGGCTGCTTCTTTTTTTTTTTTTTTTTTTTTTTTTTTTTTTTTTTTTTTTTGCAGTGGCTTCTTGCAGTCTGGAGAGGGGACAGGGTGGCCAGACTCTGTGGGTGGGAACTTTAGGAAGAACACAGAGGTCACAGAGCCTGGCGGGGGGATTAAGAGTTGGTTCTGGCACCAACCTGTTGTGTTAATTCAGGCGGGTCCCTCCCTAATCCAGCAGCAGTTTCCACTATTGGAAATGAGGGCTTGGAGGCCCAGCCAGCTCTAAAATTTGCAGTCAGTACGAAAGGAATGTTCAGGACGGATGGTGGATGGATAGATGAGTGGATGGTGGCTGGGTAGATAAATGCATGATAGATGGATGGGTGGGTGGATAAATGAATGAATGGGCAAATGAGCAAATGAATGAACAAACTTTCACCCTCAGCTTGGTCCACACTAGCTTGGCCCATCTGTGTCCAGGGCTCACCCACTTTAGCCATAGCACCATCACAACATCAGTGAGACCTGGGAGGGTCCCCATGGCTGCCAAGCAGGGCAACAGGTTCACTGGGGAAAGACCCTGCCTGAGAGGATGAAGTGGGACCCCCTGGGCCCTGACCTACCGTGTGGCCCCAGGTGTCTTTGCCCTGGATCAGTGGTCCTCCACCTGGAGACAGAGATGGGCCTGGGACCCTTGACTCTGAGCAGCTCTCCATGCAGGAAGCCTCTAAGGCTGGCATCAGGGGTCACTGCCATGGAGAGCCAAACCTCACAACAGGGCAAGCCCTGGCCAGAAGCCTTGGGAGCGGGGTTGGGGGTGGGGGTGAGGTAGGGTACCTGGATACTCCTAGTGATCCCCTCTCTCCTCCTTGATTCTCATTTACATTTGTTTGTAATAAGGAAGAATGCCCCCTGCCCATCAGGCACTGCTTTCCCCTGACATCTGGGACACCAAATCCGGGCGTGGGGTGCTGTGGGTTCTTTACCAGGTAGGGAGGCACTGCAGGCTGCCCTGCATCCAGCTTAGTGCACCTGCTGAGATGTCCCAGCATTCCATGTCAGAGCAGCTTCTTCCCCAAGGCGCCAGGTGCTGCTGGCTGTAGCTGTCCAGCCTCCATGTTCCCACCTGGACATGCTATGGACACACCTTAACAGCAGGCGGTTCCTACCTGCTAAGATCTGGGCACAGCAAAGCAGCACTGGAGCTGGCCTGCCAGCTATGCCTGCCCACGTCCCTGCCCCGCCACTGCCTCTTTACTTGCCAACCCCTGGGCCTGTCCATGCCCCTGCTGCTCCCAGGAATCTGATCCAGGCACTGCAGCTTATTGTCCTCTGCTCAGTATACCCAGCAGCCCATGGGACCTCACAGGAAATGCCCTGTGGCTCTGCTGCTCCCTTCCCCTTCCCACATTACTGAGGGGTAGCCTGGCCCAGACCTGGGTGCCAACAGGTCACTAGGACCATGATGTTCAGGTCCTGGACTAGAGCTTTACTGGTACTGTTAACTCTCTTGGCCATGAGACAGCTGCTCCGACTAACCCTATTGTACAGGTGGGAAAACTGAGTTCAAGAGGGGGCCCCAAAATGCAAGTTTCCTGTGTCTCCTGTAACAAAGTGCCAGGGCCTGGTGTCTTAAGCAGAATTATATTCTCTCCTAGTTCTGAGGCCAGGGGATGGCAGGGCTGGTTTCTTCTGGGGAAGAAAGCATTCCAGGCCTCTCCTCAGCTGCTGGTGATCCTTGGGGCTCCTTGGCTTGGAGATGTATCAGTCCCTCCTCTGCCTCTTCTCCTCCCTTTGTCTTTGGATTTAAGACTCACATGGATAATCCAGGATGATTTCATCTGGGCTATCCTTAATTCAATCACACCTGCAAAGACCCTTTTTCCAAACAAGGTCATATCAGACTCTGGGTGGACATATCCTTGGGGGCCACATTCAGCTGGCTCCACGGAGCCAACAGCCAGCAGAGCGAGGGCCCAGCCAGGTTGGCCCCTGGCTCCGCATGGGTCAGCCCCGAGGGGATGCTCTGGTCTGGGCTTGGCTGGAACACCAGGGTAGGGAAGAGGGCTTTGTGGGGTGTCCTGGAGACAAGCTCCAGACAGGAAACCTACTGCTAACCTTCCTGAGTCCCTGGCACCCTTCCCTCCATGCCTCAGTTCCCTACCTGCAGCTGTGGGAGCTGGGAAAGTGCCACAGGGTATGGGAGGTGCTATCAGCAAGAAGGGGATCAGGCCCTAACCGGTTTGGCTCAGTGGATGGAGCGTCGGCTTGTGGACTGAAGGATCTAGGGCATGTACCTTGGTTGCGGGCACATCCCCAGTAGGAAGTATTCAGGAGGTAGCTGATCAATGTTTCTCTCTCATTGATATTTCTGACTCTCTATCCCTCTCCCTCTCTGTAATAAATAAATAAATAAATAAATAAATAAATAAATAATTTTTTTTTTTTTAAAGAAGGGGCTCCAGCTACAGAGTCAACCCAGACTGGCCTTCAGGGGATCCAGGAGGAGGATTCAGCTGGTGTCAAAGACCTAGGACCCCTCTACCACACCAGAAAGACTATTGTCCCATCCCCTATTGTCTGCCTCCTCCAAGTCCCATTCCCACTGATGCCCACACAGTGCTCCTCCTCACCCCTCCAGGCCTCACCCACTGTCCTGGCTACAGCTGCCCATACCCAGCTTCTGCCCCCACCAGGCCTCAGCCCTTCCCAGCCTTGTCCTGTTTCTCCAGCACTTTCCCTTCCAGCCTCCACGGCTTCTTTCTCGCTGGCCTTTCCACTCCAGCATCGTGCTGAGACATTGGGAACCGCATGTTCTGTTCATGGTGCCCATGCACCTGGCACAAAGCATGCCCTCATTCATTTGGGACTAGCTGCTGAATGAGTGAATGAATGAATGAAAAAGCTGCAGTGATTCATTGGAGACCATGCATACCTGGGTTATAATCCTATGTACAGAAGCCACCACCACCACCGCCCCTCCCATGGCCTTGGGTGCCATTAGCCTCTGTGAGCCTTAGTCTCCTCTCCTGTGAAATGGGTTCTTCACAGGATCTAGGGAGACAAAGGGGCCTGAGGACTTAAAAGCCATTGCCTCTGGCCAGGTGAGCTGGGGACGTGGGCAGGTCTTCTCAGGATGGGCTGAAGGACTGAGGACTGAACTGGGAGGGCCCAGTCAGCCCACCCTGGCCTGCCCCAGTTCTGCCCTCTCAGGAACCTGCCTGTGATAACCTGGGGGAGGGCCAGTGGCCCTGCTGACCTTCTCAGGGCTGTCTGCTCCCTGTGCCAGACCACCCGCCCCTAGGACAGGGCCCCCACCTCGCCCTCCGTGCGGCTTCATGAGAAGCACTGCAAGGTTTGGGAACAGCCTCAGATAAAGTTGTCACAGCGGATGCGGCGGAGATAGGGTTTCTGATGGTTATCGGTGGGCACAGAATCCAGACACTGACCTCTTTGTTGGGGAAACAAGGAGTGTTCTCAGATGCACCCAGAGAATTTAAAGTGGCCGCCCGTTATCCTGGGACTGGGTGGGGCCGCCCTAGAGCCAGGAGGGAGGGACAGGGGCAGCCCTGTGGGGCTGTAGGCACGGCAGGCAGGGCTTCTCCCTGGATCCTGACAGGGCTGAGAGCGAGCTAGACCCAGACTGGGCACCCAGCCTGGGGGCACCCATGAGGAAAAGCAGCTGGTGGTACACACAACTCTGTTAGTTTTGGCTGGAGGACCGGGGGGAAGTTGTGAATAGTCCCCCCAAGCTGGCTCCCCCTGCCTCGGGCAAGGCGGGCTAAGAAGGGGGCCTGTCTCTGCCCAGAGCCTTCATCACCAGAGAAAAGGGCTTCTGTTCCGAGGCTGCTCGAATTGGGGAGAACATAGGAAAAAGAAAAGAAAATAAAATAAAGGGGCAGCCCCGTGTTATGTCAGCCCCTCCACAGGGGAAGTGGAGTGAAATTTGCCCCTCGCCCTGGGCTCAGCATGCTCCCGGGGGCAGGGAGGTGGCCCTCAGGCTGCAGCCAGCAGACGTGGGGGTCCAGCTGCCTGGCACAGGGCTAGGGGCTGGCTGGCGGGTGGGATGAGGGCAGGCTGGGCAAGGCCATGCTGCACTCTCCAAGAGCCAGGGATCCCTGCACCCCTAGGAGCCAAGTGCAGGCATGTGCCCCCACTCAGGTGGTTGTGCCCCCTCCCCCTTTTTCAGCCTTCCCTGTTTAAGTAGGGGCCCAGCCCACCTTGGTGTTAATAAGGGCTGAGGGAATGTGGGGGTGAAAGTCAGTCATAAAGCTCTGGATCTCCTGACCTATCTCCTCTTGGGAAGTGGGTGTAGGGTACAGGACAGAGCCCCCTTGAGGCCCCTGCATCCCCCCCCCAACCCCCTCACAGTCAGGGGCTGTCACCCAGGGCAGTGACCAAGCGCAGGTGCTCAGTACCCACTGGGACACAGAGATGGGCTGCTCTGGGCAGAAGGCACAAAGCTGGCCAGGGACATGGCGCCACTGCCATCCGTCCCTCAGCTTAGAACGTACATGGAAAATTAGGGGTTCTGCAGCGTCAGCAAAGCTGAGCGCGAGGGTTTTTATCATGCTGCGAACACGCGCTCCTGAGAGTGATAAGCATTAAACCGACTGGGAGGCTGTCAGTCTCAGTGTGAGGGTTTAGAAATATTGGGACGAATAATTAGATTTCATATCGTTACCGCAGCACCCATCGGAGGATCAGGCAGATTAATTTTTTTTCACCTCCTCTACTCATTAATATTCATTAGAGACTCAAGGAGACCCAGCCTCTGCCTTGCTGCTGGTTCACCCACCACTGTGCCAGCACCCCCCATCCATTCTACTGTGCCCTAGGCCTGACCCCCTGCTGTAGCCTCAGCAGACCTCCCAGCTAGCAGGGACCCCTAGCTGGTGCCCAGCTCCCACCCCTGCTCTGCAGCGTCGGAATTACCAGGTGTCAAAAGGAGGGAGCTGCCTGCCACAGCCTGCCTGAAAGCAGGCTCATTGGTGGAGATGTCCACCCCAAGTTGCCATTTAGCAATTGCATTTATTTAGCAAAGGCATTTATTTGCATAAAATAAATCCCCAGTGGACAACGGCTAGTTGGTGTGTCCTATTGGCCAAAAGGAATGCAAAAGCAAGGGTGATAGTGGAGGGGCTTGTTTGCCATGTGCTGGTCACTTACCAGACAGGCTCTGTTCCAAAGGAGGGCTTCACACAGATTGCTTCTTCCTAATGCCTGAGGGGAAACTGAGTCACAGGTGCGACATGCCCTGCAAGCAGGTGGCAGGGCAAGGTTGGGTCCAGAGTGAGCAAGCAGGCTCAGGCCACAGTTCCAATCAGGAGGGGAATCATCCACTTGCAGAGAGAGGCCAAGGCCCAGGGAGGGCTTCATGGTGCTGGGACAGGTATTCTCTGCTCATCTGTTCCATGACCAGGTGCTCCGACCTGGCTGGGAGTTATTACCGGGAGTGCTGGCATACTGGCCTGATCTCACAGGGTCCCTGAGTCTGCCACAGGTTGGGGACAAGATGCAGAGGTAGTCAAAGGGCGATGCCCTGCCCAAGGTCACAGTGGGAAGGTCAGGCCTGGACTGGATACCAATGCCCTGGGCATCCCACAGCATCCCACCAACTGCCATGTGCATGAAACCACTACCGTCTCGGTGGTAGCATTTTCAGGTGACAGCAAGAGACACTGATTCTTAAAAGTCCTGATGCTCAGTTTCTAAGTAAAAGGCATTTATTTGCATAAAACAGAAAGTACCTAAATGTTGTCGTGTGCCATAACTTTCCATGTGGGACTCATTTGCTAAGCTTGGGGACCTCCAGGAAGAGGATCCCAGAACCGGGGCCCAAGGGCAGCAGCAGTCACACCCACTTCTTTTTTTTGTTGTTTATTTTATTTTATTTTATTTTATTGATCTTTTACAGAGAGGGAGAGAGATGGTTAGAAACATCAGTAAGAGAGAAACATCAATCAGCTGCCTTCTACACATCTACTGGGGATGTGCCTGAAACCAAGGTACATGCCCTTGACCGGAATCAAATCTGGGACCTTTCAGTCTGCAGGCCAACACTGTCCACTGAGCAAAACCAGTCAAGGCTCATACCCACTTCTGTTATATATATATATATATATATATATATATATATATATATATATATATATATATATATATATTTTATTGATTTTCCACAGAGAGGGAGAGGAATAGAGAGCTAGAAACGTCGATGAGAAACATCGACCAGCTGCCTCCTGCACACCCCCCACCAGGGATGTGCCCGCAACCAATGTACATGTGACTGCAATCGAACCTGGGACCCTCCAGTCTGCAGGCCGACGCTCTATCCACTGAGCCAAACCGGTTTCGGCTCACACCCACTTCTTCAGGCAAAAGGACCACGTTCCTGCCCTGCTCACCAGCCAGCCATGGGTCTGCACCACAACCCCATGTGTAACTAAGAGCTGGGCCACAGAGCGGGGCTGCAGGCCGATCCCCGGGCAGCCGTTTCCAGACACAGGCTGCACCGGGACAGGGGACACGTGTTTCCTCTGCTTAGCCCAGCTCCGGAAATCAGGCCACCCCCTCTGAAGCCCAGCGGACAGCAGCCTTGAGCCGAATCCAGAGCTCTTTCCTTCCGGATACTGGGGGCCATGTGGTAGGAGCCCGTGCTGGTGCAGCCCCATGCACCCTGTGGTTTTTACAAAAGCACCCAGCAGCCTGTTAAAATGGGGATGGAGGGGGTGAGGAGAGAACACAGGCCTGTGTGTGAATTCCCTGTCACTGGCTGCCTATGTGACCTTGGATATGTTGCTTGGTCTCTCTGGACCTCAGTTTCCTGGAGAACCCAGCTCCCGAGCTCTGAGAGGTGTCACTAGCACAGCATTTGACAAGAAATAGGCCCACAGGCTGGTCCAGCCATTCTACCAGGTGGTCTCTTGGGCTTCCCCGCATGTGCCCTATGGAGAACCCCTAGCTGGGCTCTTCCCCTGCTCTGTCCTTGCTGACCCCTCCTTTCTGCCCCCCAGAGCCCGGCCCTGACCCTGCTGCTGGAGGACGAAGCCTGCTGGCTGAGGACACTGCCCCTGGCCCTGACGGAGGCTGAAGCCAATGTGGAGATCCACAGGAAGGGTTGGTATCTGGCGCTTCCCTCTCTGCCTTCCGGAAGGTGGAAGTCCTCTCCCAGGCCCGGCTCTTAAAGGGAAATCAGCCTGCTCTGAGCCAAGCCAAGGGACTGGCCACCACACCCCTAGCACCGATTCATACCTATGGGGGGTCGCACAGATGTCTGTGTGATGGGGGAGCAGGGTCTGAGGAAGCCAGAACGCTCTCAGGACCTCGGGGATACCTCCAGGGCAGCGGAGGAGCCCAGGCCAGGGAGGCCAGGACCCAGCAACAGGTGCCAACTGGACCTGTCTGTGCATTTTGGCCACTCCTGCCTCCCTGCACCTTCTTGAGGGAGGGTCCCTGGAGCCAGAGCCTGGGTGGGGAGGAGGGAGAACAAGATGGGGGTCCTTGCCCCCCTCACCTTCTCAATTCAGAGTTCAGGCCAAGCATATGCAGGGGCTACCATCTCCATCACCACAGCCCTGCCTGCCCCAATTGGTCTTATTCCTGAGGGAAGTGTGGCCTGGCTTCCATGTGTGAGGGTCAGGGTGGTGTGGACCCTGCCCCTCACCCCATTACAGACAAGGCTCAGGTCCCAGGGGAGAATGTGGAGACATACTCGTAACTTCTACAGACAGCAAAGGCTGTTTGCCACGTGACCAGCCAGGAGGGCTGTGCATCTACCGACTACAGGAAACATACCTCATTCCCTGTTTTGCTAAAATGTTCTGGGGGGGTGTCACCCTCACCACCACCTCCTGAGCACACAGCACATTTGGCTAACACCCAGTGGAGGCAGAGCTCCATCCTGAGGGTGGCTTTGATTTCCAGACAGAGCCAAAGGCCATTGGAGATAAGGAACAATCCTGTGACCAGCTCCTCAGCCCAACCCCTACCCACCTGGGGGCTGCCAGGGCCTGGCAGGGGTACAGAACGAATGCTGGGCTCAGCATTTGGGAACCTGGGCTTTCCACCCTGCCCTGCAGTCAACCATGCACCTGGTCCCAACACTTCACCTGTTTCCCCATCCACAGTGGGGAGAGAACCCTGGCCCCTCCTCCCCACCAAGGAGTACTCTAAGGATCCAGAAAGCAGCTAGAGGAGAGAGCTGGGTCTTGGCAGTAAGTAGTCAGCATTGAGACTATACACCCAGCCAGGATGTGGGTCAGTTAGCACTGCTTGGCCCACCCTTCTTCTTAGCCTGGTCAGCAGGACTCCGGCCATCTGTGTCTGTCCAGGCAGGACAAGGGTCCTTGCAGTAGTAGCCTTGTGCTGGGCCCTGGAGGAAGATTATCAGGCAGCTTGCCAGGGTCCTGTTGGATAAGGCTGCCCCCTGCAGGCCATCTTGAGAACAGTGCACCAGCAGAGTTGAATGGAGCAGGCTTGCCAGTCCAGGGCCTGGCCCAGTGGCTACCAGGCGCTCTGCCATCTGTCCTACGTGCCACCCCTCTCCTGGAAAATAGAGAATCTCTGCTGGCACCCTCAAGTTCCATTCAGTGGGCTCAGAGAAAGGCAAGAAAGCCCAAGGAAGGCTTGGGTAGGCCTGGGGGACCACCCATCTGCCCCACAGGTGCAACTTGTGGAAACCAACCAGCCACAGCTGTACACCAGGCCTGGTCACTTTCTAATTATGGCCTTGGCTGCATCCCCTATCCTGGGCTTCAAAACTCTGGTCTCTAAGATGAGGGGCTCGGGAAGATAAGTGGGGAGTCTGCAGAGCTGCTGTGGTGTGCCTGGAGCTGCTGGTTCTCCCATCATGGTGCCCTTGCCCCTGCAGATGGAGCCCTCTGGTGCAAGCTCACCAAGCCGGTGCCAGCAGGGGGACTGCTGAGCGTGCTCCTCACAGCCGAGCCTCACAGCACCCCTAACCACCCTGTGAAGAAGGAGCCCGCAGAGCCTGAGTGCCTGGCTCCCTCACACACTGACATCCAGCTCCTGCCCCAGCAAGCCGGCATGGCATCCATCCTGGCCACAGCAGTCATCAACAGTGAGTACCACCCTCGGGCCTCCCCAGATGCATGGAAGGACCAGCACAGTCCCCAGGCGCAGGACTGCAGGTGGTACTGAGGAAGAACTCAAGATCTACAAGATCTGTGACCACTGGCTCTGAGCAGAGGAGGAACTGTGCTGCAGTAGCCATGCACGGGAGCTTGAAAGAGGTTCCAGGAGGGAGAGGGGCTCCAGGCTGCATCCAGCTCATGAAAGCAACAAGGTTGGCTAATGAATAGTGACGGGCAGCCCTGAGCAGGCTGCAGGTAGGGGGGGCAGCAGTGTGCACATAGCCAGGGCAGAGGCAGCAGGGTCCTCAGGGCCCAGGTCATACACTGAGAAGGGCCCAGGAAACAAGCACAAACCTGAGCCCATGTCTCCCTCTGTTTCTCAGTCTCTGCTGGCAAGTGGGTCACCCCTGGCCCTGCCCACTAAACACTGGTACTGCCCCCACTTCTCAGCACACACTAAGCCTCAGAGAGTTGTTGTGAGAATTAAGTAGGTTTCACACATTCAGCAAATACTTGTTTAATATCCACACTGAACCAAGCAGTGGAGGCACCAGCTGGCCAGCCCCGAAAGGACCCATACACCGGAGAGGTGGCCTTACTTGGGAGATGGCGGCAGCGGTAGAGGGTTCATCACAGGAAGGAAAGCAATGATGTGGTCAGACAGTAGCAGGGCTACTTTATTGGGGTGCCTGGGAAAGTTGCTCAGACATGAGAACAGTTAGCTTTGGACCTGCATGCCAGGGAAGAGCAGCTGAGCGGTCCCCCACCAAGGCCCAGGAGGTGGTCACTGTGGTTGGAGCCTAGCAGTGCGCCAAGCACAAACTGGGCAAATCTCTGAGGGTAGTTCCAGGCAAGAATGGGATTTTTTTTTTTTTTTTCTAAGAACAATAAGAGCTCACTAGAGGCTTTAACCAGCAAAGGGTGTGATCCAATCTGGTTTTAAAATCACCCTGGCTGCTGGGTGGTAACTGTGGGGTTGCAAAATTGTAAGAGGAAGCTTTTGAGCAAGTCAAAGGTCATTTGATGCAAGTGGATGCAGCTAAGGTATAGCCTGATGCGACATTGGAGCCCACAGTTGGGTGGGTGAGGAGGTGGCGGCGGCAGCAATCAAGAGGCCAGGAACTTCGATGTGGCTGGCTAGGGGGAAGTGGGTCTGTACCACTGCTGGGGCAGGGGAGGGGCAGTGGGGAGAGCTCTGCTGAGCATCCTGATCCCTAGGTGGCTAGGAAATGTGTGGTGGGGCTCAAGGCACAGTCAGAACTCTCCCTGGGGAGCCCTGGGCAGGATGAGACTCCCAGGGAGAGACAGGGCCTGTGGACACTAGAGTTGGAGGGAGAGTGTATGCTGTGTCCCAGTTGAGTTTTTTTGTGTGTGTTGTTTTTTTAATTATTGATTTCGAGAGAGAGGAAGGGGGAGAGAGAATAGATTTATTGTTCCACTTATTTATGCATTCATTGGTTAACTTTTGTGTGTCCCCTGACGAGGGACTGAACCCACAACACTGGCTTATAGCTCTAACCAACTGAGCTGGCCAGGGCCCCAGTTTAATTCTTGAGACTCCACCACTCTGGGAAGTTCCCTCACCTAATAAGTGGGGATAACGGCAATACCAGCCTCGAGGTGTTTGTGCAAATTACTTGGGCTGTGCCCACCCAGGACTTGACCATTGGTCAGCCCACTATGGTCAGCCCTGGGTTGCTGTGGCTGTGGCTTAAACTGGCCTCCAAGGCTCTGACCCCTCTCTTGACTCTGAGGCCAGCAGCACAGTCTCCAGTACTGACCTTGCAAATACATTTTTAAACACTGGTGGCCTCAGGTTCCCATTTCGGTTCAAAGCCTCAGCTGATATAGAACAGAGCTGCTTTGGCCCCCAAATAAAAGGGAACTTGAAAAGCAGAATAAACACAGTAGGAAGGGAACAGAACCAGAAAAACCGTAGGTAGGGGGCACAAGGGTGACCACCTCATCCAGACAGGTACTAAATTCCTCAAGGAAAGTGGGAAAATGGGAAACCTGGCAGCCTTTTGGGTGGAGGAGGAGAAATAGTTATGGGCCCACGACAAACGTCGGAGAAGCCAGGCTGAGAAACACATCCTAACCTGCAGAAGCAGAAACCAAGTGATAAGGAAGCCCAGGACCCTCATCCCTCCTCTAAATCAAGGTGCAGAACAAGCCCTCCCCTGACCATCTTCAGCCAAGAGGCAGCTGGCACAGCAGGTGCAGACAAACAGAGCATTCCTTTAAACTCCTCTATAAAAACACACTGAGAACCAGAGAACTGGTGAAGCATCCATCAGAGAAACCTTCACCTGCTGGAAAAATCAGCCCTGCGACCCAAACTCCTATAAACTGAAAAATCAGAGGCAGTTTATTTGTGGTAGATTTGGTGGATTCAACTGTGAGCATTCAGTCAGTAACTGATGTGGAACCATCCACCTATGTGTGTGTGTAGGGGGGCGGGGAGAGGTAACACAGGGACAGAAAGGGCTCCTCTTTGCAGCTTCTGGCTTCACTGCCCACCCTTACCCCAGAAGCCACCCAGAACCATATTCAACTATCATCCTAGTGCCTCAGTGCAGCGGATTCATGCACCTGGTCCCTATGTGCCTGGCCACACACACACCTGTTCACATGCACACACCTGTTTCATCCTCCACCAGCACCAGGGTCCACACCATCCCTCACAGCCCCTTACCAGCACAAATGCACCTGCACACACTTGCCCCCCTTCCTCACCTGTACATGGTCATCCCCACTGAACAACTGACACAACCACATCCTGGACGCCAATCTCACTCCTGCAGGTGTCACTCCTAGCATGCCCATGCTCCTCCCATGAACACCCATGAAACCACAGCATCTCCTTATGGGGCTCACTGTTGGAAGACAGCCTGGAGGGCAGCCTGGAAACCCATAGAGAGGGCACCCAGGTTTTAAAAGGACAGATAATAAAGGGCAGCAGTGATGGGAGGAGGAAAACCAGGTCACAAACCGACTGCTTAAAGCAGAAAGGCGGCAGAGCCCTCACTTTGCGGAGTCCACTGCCTGGCCCTGGGTTCCAGGCTGCCCCTCTTGCTTCCGGAATGTCCCCTCAGGCTTCACCCACCTCTTGCCCCACAGAAGATGTCTTCCCCTGCAAGGACTGCGGCATCTGGTACCGCAGCGAGCGGAACCTGCAAGCGCACCTCCTGTACTACTGTGCCAGCCGCCAGAGTGCCGGCTCCCCTGCCGCAGCCGCCGCTGACGAGAAGCCCAAGGAGCCATACCCCAACGAGCGTGTCTGCCCCTTCCCTCAGTGCCGCAAAAGCTGCCCCAGTGCCAGCTCCCTGGAGATCCACATGCGCAGCCACAGCGGTGAGGCTCCACGCCCACCCCCCCCCCAGAACCCCCGTGTTCCCACTGCGCCCAGGCGACAGAGGCACCTGTGTGGGCCTCCCACCATACCACACAGCCTCCCACAGCTCCCGGGGCATGAAGCCCATCTGTGGCTGGCTGGCTGGTCAGCTCAGGGCTGGGTCCTGGCTGGGGTCCTGGGAGGCTTGAAGAGCCCTCCACACACAGCCCAAGTCATGGCCCCTCACGGCCCTGTGTTCCAGGCGAGCGCCCCTTCGTGTGTCTCATCTGCCTGTCTGCCTTCACCACCAAGGCCAACTGCGAGCGGCACCTCAAGGTGCACACAGACACACAGAGCGGTAAGCAGGCTGGGAAAGGGGCAGGAAGCACGTCAGGGGGAGTCTGTGGAGTCCGTTGGCTCCAGGGCCCTGACACCACAGACCATCTGCAGGTGTCTGCCACAGCTGTGGCTTCATCTCCACCACAAGGGACATCCTCTACAGCCACCTAGTAACCAACCACATGGTCTGCCAGCCAGGCTCCAAGGCTGAGATCTACTCACCAGGGGTCGGGCACCCCTCAGCCAAGCTCCCACCAGGTGAGGCTCGGGGCCCCCCTCTGAGGGCTAGGGAGAGGGCTAGTCCATGAGACAGAGCGAGAGGGTCAATTTGGTCTTGGGCCCTGACCACCTCTGCCCAGCCCAGCTCTCCCTTCCCACCCTGCCCCTTCCTCAGGTCTGGCCCAGGCAGGTCCTGCTCCAGCCCTGAAGTGTGGCCTTTGGGGTCTCCCTGCAGAGTGTCTACCCGGCTTCCAGCAGCTCACAGCCCTCCACGGCTCCCTGGCCTCCTCCGACCTGGGCCTGGGGTCCACCTCATCACCAGGACTGGACAGGAAAACCCTGGACGAGGCCACCAATGGAGAGGCCAGAACAGCCCCCCAGAACGGGGGCAGCAGCGAGCCCCCAGCAGCGCCCAGGAGCATCAAGGTGGAGGCGGCTGAGGAGCCAGAGGAGGAGCCAGGGCCCCCAGCCCTTTCGTCGCGGACGCCCTCACCACCCAGCTCCGCTCCTGTCCGGGTCAAGTCTGAGCTGCCCAGCCCCACACCCGGCTCCAGCCCAGGCCCCGGTGCGCTCTTCCTGCCACAGTTCCCCGCCGCGCCCCCAGCCTCGGAGATCCTGGCCAAGATGTCGGAGCTGGTGCACAGCAGGCTGCAGGTGGGGGTGGGCGCGGGGGCGCCAGCCGGCCTGCTCGCGGGGGCCCCCAAAGGCGCTACCTGCTTTGAGTGCGACATCACCTTCAACAACGTCAGCAACTTCTACGTGCACAAGCGCCTCTACTGCTCCGGCCGCCGCGCGCCCGACGACGTGCTGCCCCCAGCCCGCAGGCCCAAGGCGCCCCCCACCCCGGTGCGCGCGGCCCCCGCCCCGCCGCCCGCTGAGCCCGACAAGCCAAGTTCGTCGCCAGGCCCCGGGGCGCGCGAGGACCTGGCCGGGGGCGCGACCACGCCCGAGACAGAGACTGGCGGCGGCGGCGGCGGCCGGGGCAGTGAGGGCAGCCCAAGCCCGGGCAGCGGGGCGGACGAGGACGACGACCCCCGACGGACGCTGTGCGAGGCCTGCAACATTCGCTTCAGCCGCCACGAGACCTACATGGTGCACAAGCGCTATTACTGCGCCTCGCGCCACGACCCGCCTCCGCGACGGCCCGCTCCCGCCGCGCCCCCAGGAAACCCCGGAATCCCCGCGCCGGCGCTGCCACCCGTACGCACGCGCAGGCGCCGGAAGCTCTACGAGCTGCAGGCGGCCAGCCCCGCCCCTGCAGCGCCGGGCCCCGCCCAGCCCGCGGCGGCCCCGGCTCCCGAGACTTCCGCCTCGCCGTCGCCGCGGCCCGGAAGCGGAAGCGGGCCGGACCTATCGGAGGGCCCCATCGACCTGAGCAAAAAGCCGCGGCGCCAGGCCTCCGCCGCTCCCGTGCCCGGCCCCCTGCCCGTGCTGCCTGCCCTGGCCGACTACCACGAGTGCACGGCCTGCCGCGTGAGTTTCCACAGCCTCGAGGCCTATCTGGCGCACAAGAAGTTCTCGTGCCCCGCCGCGCCGCGGCGCCCGCGCGTCCCCGAAGATCCCGCCGTCGTGTGCCCCTACTGCCCCCCGAACGGCCTGGTTCATGGGGACCTCGTCGAGCACTTGCGCCTGGCGCACGGCCTGCTGCTGGGCAAGCCCCTGACTGGCCCGGGCCCCGGCGCAGAGGCCCGGACGCCCTCCCCCGCTGCCCCCCGCGATGGCCTTAATGGCCAGGAGCCACCCACCGGCCCTGCAGACGGCAGTCCCCGGCCCGGCCCGCCCTCAGCCCCACCGACGCCTCCTTCCCACTCGGACAAGGGCGTCCAGACCCCCAGCAAGGGGACGCCGACCTCCCTGCCCAACGGCAACCACAGGTACTGCCGCCTGTGCAACATCAAGTTCAGCAGCCTGTCCACCTTCATCGCCCACAAGAAGTATTACTGTTCCTCGCACGCCGCCGAGCACGTGAAGTGACCGGTGGCCACACTACAAACTGGAAACCGCTTCTCACGCCCGCTGCTCCCCAGGAGCCAGGGCCTGCCGGCCTGGCCTGCCGGCCTGCCGCTCATAAAGACGGAATCACCCCCAGGTCCCAGGCTGCTCTGGCTCCTGGGAAACGCACCCAAGCACAGGCCTCAGCAGAGGGAACTGCAGGTGGCAGCACCCGCCTGGATCCTTGGCACTTAATAAAGAAGTTCAGTTTGATTAGCAGCCTAGTTCTCTAAGCAGAGGGCCCTGCAGGGTGGGGTCCACACTGGCCAGCATTTTAGGCACTGTTATCCAAGCACCTAGAGGCCCACCACCACAACGTCCAGCATGCACACAGGCCATTGCAGTCTGGAGTGACCAGGCCCCCTGCCAGAAACATGTTAATGGTCCTAAGAGCTGGACCAAGCTCCAGGTCAGTCTGATGCAACCACACACACAGAATTGCTGCCCTGCCAGCTCTGTACTCACTTGGAGTATAGGAAGAACTGGAACTGCTAGGCCCACTACTGGTCCATCCCCTCCCCCACAGGATCTAACCAGAAGCTCTGTTTTGGACACCAGACACACACACAAAAAGGTGGGGAGGCTTAATTCTACCCAGCTGATAGTCTTCCCACCCCGCTTGGTTCCAGGGACCTGGATGTCACCCATCTAGTCACAGGCCACCGAGGTTTGAGGGATGCGAGCATCTTGGGGAGCATGAGGCCCTGTTGTTACCAACGCTGGTGGGAGAGATGGGGCAGTGAATAGTCACCAAAGAAGAAGGTGGACAGGGGAGAGAACACCATGACCCCTGGGACCAGGTGGACCAAATCCTGAACTAGGTGTAGCATGGCACCTGTGGTGGCTGCAGGGGAGATAAGGAACAGGGGTACTCCACCTCAGTCTGTTCTGGTTCATTGGGGGTTGCTTGTGCCGTGGCTGGACTGGACAGTGTTAGCCAACCCAAGCAGAGTCTAGCCATACCCTTCCCATTTGGCATCAGGGTAACTGAACCACCTTCCAGTCTGGTGTCTCTGCTAGACAACACACCATCGGCCTTTCCCAACTTTGCTTGAAGTAACAGTTTCACTCAGCAGTCTATAGTGGATAAATGTGAACTCCGACCTTTGACCTTTCTCCATCTTCCTGCCACCCACCCATCCAGATACACTCTCTAGGCTCGAGGCAAATTTCCCTCCCACATAGCCCCACAGAAGTGACAAGCTAGCATAACAAGCCTGTATTTGGACAAGAACAGTCTCCATGGCATCATCCACAGGCAAGAGCCAAACACACACCTCCTGCTTGCTCTGAGCTGGTCCTGCGTACCAGGGCTTGGCCAGACAGGATTACTTGGCCAAGGCCACCAGACAGTTAGGATTCCCATGCTGTTAGGGGCCTGAGCTCCAGGAAAGGGTTGGGGGAGTGTCCCATGGGAGCCCAGCTGTCTTCCTAACAAAGGCCTGTCCTCTAAAAGACCAACCTGGCCTCAGCCCTCCTGGGGTGGGGTGGGAGAGGCACACAGACTCTCGGCCCTGCTCCTCCTTTGCATTGTTCTGCATTCATTTGCAAGGAACATTCAGGAAACTCTGCCTCTGAGCTAGACCACTGAATGAAGGGGGACACTCTGATGTCCTCACACTGTTCTCAAAAAATTAAACCTAACAGTGAATTTTGCTGTGTATATATTTTTAAATTAAAAAAAAATTTTAAAGATGCTGGGGAGCTTAGATGCTCAACGGGGGGGTGGGGGGGGCAACACAGTGTCATCAGATGGGGGAGACCATTGTCCAGCATCTTTACCCCTCTTCAAGAGCCACATCCCCACCTTACATAAAGTGGCCACAGGACAGATGTGAATGGAAAACAGTGCCATACAGAAAATAGCCTGTTTCCATACCTGCAAATGTGCTTGGGGATGTGCTCAATGGTTGTGCAGTCCCTGCTGTGAACTCAGTTCAGCAGGCAGAGCCAACCCTGACCCCTGACCCAGACATGAACTGCTGTCCTTGTCACCAGAGAAGTCCTGGGCTCTGTAGCCTACTGCCCTCACCCAGCCTGGAGAGGTGGCTCAGCCTGGAGGTTCTAGGGCAGCACCACAACTCATTAAGGGCCCTACAACTGGGTCCTTTGCCCCCTCACTGTCTGCCTCCCCCCCCCCCAGGGTAGAGCTAAATACCCTCCTGCCCCTTCCTTCTCAGACCCTGGATTTCCCACACCACAGACTCCATCAGCAGACCCCGTCTCCTCAAGACTCCCACCCAGCAACTCCACCACCTACATCAAAATCTGCCTCCACCACCACCACCTGCTGCGGCCACCGTCCCAGGGTCCTGTGATGGCACTAAATGACCAGTCCACACTCAGATCATTGCCATCCACAGTGCTGCTCACCCACATACCCCAGGACAGCCTAGCTCCAGGAATCGCTGTAGGTGAACATTCCTGGCACCAGGGGTCAGCAGCAACTCATTTATGTGGGCCAGCAAGCCAGGGTCAAAGGCTGCTTTCCTAGCACGCTGCAGACTGGCCAAACCTTCAGGTCCTTTGTCTCCTGAGGACACAGAAGAAGTGAATGGGAGGGGGCAATGAGGGATGGAAGTGGCCCATCACACCCAGGAGAGGCCTCAGGAGGGCATGGAGATCGACGACCTTACAGAGCTTGGAAATGAGTCAATTTCCACAGAAAGGGAAGGAGCAGCAAAGACCAGCCAGGGCAAGAGGGGCCCAGATTGGGGTCAGCCTAGGATGAAGGGAACATAGAGAAGCTAGGGAGCTCCCCAGGCAGAGTCCCAGCAGGTGTCCACTGGTAATCAAACTGCTTCCACAATACCCGAGGTAAGGCCTGTCCTGTCACTGTTCTTATGGGAGGGGCAGCAGGCTCGGGGGGGGGGGGGGGGGGTGCAACTTGCTGCAACAGCCCCCGCCCCCTGAGGACTGCTGGGAGCACTGAAGCAAAGTGCACACCTGGTCCAGACTGCCTCGCACATGGCCACCACCTGGCTGCAACCGGGATCTCCTCTGTGCCAGGGCCCCAGCCTGGCTCAGAGACCTGCCCTCCCCAAGGCTCTCAGTGGTGACAGCTTGGGATAGCAGGGTTTGCCTGCATGTCCTTCCTGCCTTGTCAAATCAGGCCTCTCTCCCTTTGTCTAACAGCCACCTCACTGATAGGGACAACTTAGGAGAAAGGTTCTCTGAAATGCAGTTGGTCCCAGGTCCCCAAGAGCCCTCTTCTCCCAGATGGCTGCATATGCATCACCTGAACTGGTGAGGAATCCACATTCCAGTGCTCCCATTGGGGCTGAAACAGGCCGGGCCTGAGCACCTGTGTTTAATCAGCTCCCAGCAGATTCTTCACTAACAAGTTGGAGAAGTACCCACACAAGAGGAGCACAGACTCTTGGCATCTTTCTAGCAGGTACAGATGGAGGGAGGGAAGGTTTCCCTGCTGAGGAATGCTTATCAGCTGAGTCAGGGACAAGCAGGGAGGGGACTGGATCTTGTGACTTGGCGGGGATGACTAGATCACTGCTTCCCCTTCAGAGTATGTAGTTGACCACCCCCATGTCCTGGACACTCGTCCTGATAGCTTTCTGCCCTTCATCCAAATCACAGACAAGCCTTGACGACACCAGTGCCCAGAATAGCCAGGGGTAACCAGCCCCAAACATGGAAATACACCCTGTATGTACTGGTACAGAGTGTTGCCGCCCTTCCCATCCCGGAACACAAACTCCAAAGGAAATGACCACAGTTCTCCTGGCCACGGAGCACCTCTTCTAAAAGCTGGTCTGAGGAGCCACAAATTTGTTTCCGCCCACTAATGTCCCAGGGGGGATGTCCCATGGGGAATGCCCTAGGAGTGTTAGACTTTGGGTGTGTTCCTGACCAAGCACTGATGACGCTGACTGTGGGTTCAAACACAGGTAGCAAGGATATAAAAAGCTTCAAGGGACGGTGTGATTGGTGGAATAATGGCCCCAAAGCTGACCATGTCCTCTGCCCCAAAACGTATGAATCTGTGTTCTTACACGGCACAGGGCAATTGAGAGTGCTAACCAGATGACCTTGAGACAGAGAGGTGACTCCAGAGGGACAAGCACATGCAAAGCCCAGCAGGGCCCTGGCAGACTGGCTGGCCGCCTCTGGGGCATGAGAAGAAGCCAGCTGTACTTTCCACATCCATGGGTGGTGTGCATATCTGAACCTGAGAGCTAGGCTCAATACGCTCCCCTAAGGGCTCCCTGAGGGAGAACAACTGGAGGAAAGATGTCTCAAATCCTGGGTGGACAGAGTTCAGTCTTAGCGCCCCATGGGGAGAGGGGCCTGAGCTCACCTTCCAGACCTTTGAGACCCACGTCAATGGAATGTAACCAGAGCTGCATCCAACCCTCATCCAACTCCATTCCTGGTCATTTCAAAGGTAACAGCCCTGCAGAGGCAGAGCAGGTGGATTGGGGAGGGGGTAAGGGTGCTGAGAAGCAGAAAGGAGCTCCCCAGGTTGCTCTGTGCTAGACCCAGAGCCCAGCTGGAGGCTTAGAGCTGCAGCCCCCCAAAGCGGGCCACACCCACGGGGTCTTGCCAACCAGCAGGGCACTAACATCAATGTTTTTCTCTCCCCCCACCCCACTCCCTCAGAAAAGCAATGGAAAAATGTCCTCAGGTGAGGATTAATAAAAAAAAGAGAAAACAACCTATCTCTTTCTGGCTTTAAACTTTTTAAAAGTAAAATATCAAAATAAAAATGATACCTTAGGTTTATAATTTACGTAGAGGTGTAATTGTGTGTTACACTGTGCACAAATTACCTCAACATAAAGAGCAAATAGGCTCTCAGCAGAACACTACTGAACGTGAGGGACAAGGCCTGGGTGCCACAGCCTGAGGGGACCCAAAACTTCCCTTGGAGGGTCTGAGCCCTGCAAAGGTCTCCTGAGCAGCAGCCACATCATGTTTTTTGTTGTTGTTGTTGTTGTTTGTTTTTTAAATATATTTTATTGATT